ATAAATAATTGGCTGAATGAATCTCTGTAATTGCGTCTTGTTGTAATTCTTATTGCTTTTTTCTGTAGGATAAAAACTGAATGTGTATAGGTTTTATGTTATTCCCCAAATTTCAACACGGCAGTTCAAGTACGGTACGATCAATGAATTGTATAATAAATATAGGGATTTGTCATCTAGTGACCATTTCACTCTGTGTAATATTGCGATTGATTTAGATATTGTTTATATGTGGTTTCCAAGATAAATCCTCATCAATGATGACTCCCAAAAATTTAACTTCCTTTACTCTTTTAATACAGTTTTCATCTAATTTTATTAATGTTTTTATATTCTTCTTTCTATCACTGAATATCATAAATTATGTTTTATCCGTGCTCAATGAAAGCTTATTTCCATCTAACCGTAATTTGATTTTTTCCAAATCTGTTTGTATCACCTCTATCATTTGATCAATATCGTCTCCTGAATAATAAAAAGTTGTGTCATCTGCAAATAAGATACACTTTAACATATTAGATGTAGAGACAATATCATTTATAAAAATAATAAATAGTTTATGGCCTAGTACCGACCCTTGTGGTACTCCACAAGTAATATTATCTAGATTGGATTTGATGTTGTTTATTTGAACATACTGTTTCCTGTCATGTACTGTAAATAACTCATTATCCATTTTAGGGATGTTCCTGTTATGCTATATTTACTAAGTTTTTTTTTTTAAAGAATGTCATGATCTGCTGTATCGAATGCTTTTTTTAGGTCAATGAAGATGCTTATCAAATGTTTTTTTTTTGTCAATGGCTTCCGATATTTCTTCTGTTAATTCCATTAGTGCCATTGAAGTTGAGCGATTTGGTCTAAACCCATACTGACTGTCATTTAAGATATTCTCTTTGTTCAGAAATGCGTCCAATCTGGTAATAAATAGTTTTTCTAATTTTTTTGAGAATTGTGACATATGGGATATAGGTCGGTAGTTGGAGAAGATATGCTTATCTCCACTTTTGTGAAGCGGAATGACTTTAGCTATTTTCATTTTGGTAGGATTTTTTTTTAGTTTAGTTTATTTCAAACAAAGAAAACATACATAATTTTTTTTAAAAATACCACAAACAGAAAAAATACATATCATCATCCCTTTTTTTCTTCTTCTCTGTCTGAAAAGGAGTAGGCTGAAGTGGAAACTTATATGTCCCTACCCCTTTATACAAGTAATTTTTACTTGTTTACTAAATGTAACACAAAACAAACAAAATGGTACAAGTCACCAAAAACCACCAAACCATATGGAAAAAAAACCCCATCTTTTTACAATTGATGCTCATATTTACTTTTCCTAAAATAAAGGACAACCACATAAATCATCTATTTTCCACTATATACTTGTTCAGAATGTTTTTTATAAGTCATTTTAAACACATTTATATTTGTACTTACTTTGATTTTTTCTTCTAAATTGTTCCATAATTTAACCCCTATTATTGTGATACACATCTGTTTTAATGTTGTTCTAAACTTATGTATCTTTAAGTTTAGTGTCCCTCTGAGGTTATATCCTCCTTCTCTCTCTGTGAACAGTTTCTGTATTTTATCAGGCATTAATTTACTTCTTACTTTATACATTATTTGTGCTGTTTTGTATTTAACCAAGTCCTGGAACTTCATTGTCCGCGTTTTAATAAAAAGTTAATTTGTGTGATCCAAATATCCTGCATTTGTTATTAATCTGATAGCCCTTTTCTGCATTGTCGTTATTGTTTGTAAATTGTAGACCTCTACACAAGAGCTCAAATATGGCAGTAGCATCGTATTGTATAATATATAAAGTGCTTTCTGATTAAAAATATACTTAGCTTTCCCCAATATAGCAATGCCCCGTGCAAGCTTCCCCCTAACATATTTGATGTGTGGCTTCCAACAGATTCTGCTGTCTATGACCACCCCAAGAATTTTTATTTCATATACTCTCTCAATTTTTACATTATTAATTACTATATCTAATATGCCAGTTGTAAAAGATAAGTTACGTATATAAGTAAAGGGATGGATAATATTCTCTGTTATATTTTTTATTATTATGTCTAAATTGTCGCAGTCAGTTGTTCTTTTATTGATGACTTTTTTTTACAACTTCTCTTCTTCATTAGTCACTGGATTTAATAACATTCTATTTTTGTTACCTATAATTTTTTTGCCTATGTTACAATGAATTCTTTTTTGAATGATGTTTGCCAAGCTTGGTCCCACGTTAGTAAAGAATTTATTAAATTCATTGGTGATTTTGTTTGGATCGTTTATTTCAGTGTCTTCATTTAAAAAAATAATTCGGAACAGTTGAAACTGATTTATTTCTTTTTATAACATTGTTTATTATTCCCCAAGTTGCCTTTATATTGTTTTTATGTTTTTCTAGTATATTGCTATAATAATTTTTTTTGTCTTTTAATATTGAAACTAATTTATTCTTATATTTTTTTGTATCTGTACTCAGCTTCGCTGGTTCTTTGTTTTAAAAAGCTTCTGTATAGGGCATTTTTTTTCTTGCAGGCATTTTGCAGTCCTTTTGTCAACCATGGTTTATTCTTATCTTTTTTTGTAAGTTTTTTTTCGTATTGACTGCACAGTATTCTTATAAAAGAGCTGTAAGCCAAATTTACATCATTTATATATATTTTATCCCCGTTTTGCTGTTCTAGGGCTCTTTTAAATGAGTCTATGGCTTTTTGTGACCGATCCCTTATAAGATTTTCCATTAGAGGTTGATGTCTAATCTGATCACTCTTGTAGCATGTGAAAACTGGCAGATGATCACTAATATCAGTCATTATGATTCCAACACTCTCCAGCCCCCCTGAAACATTACAAAATATGTTATCTATAATTGTTGAGCTTTGTACAGTACTTCTTGTGGGTTTGGTTATCAGTGGAAACAGACCAAGTAGATGCATGGAATTTACAAAGTCTGATAAATTGTATTTTTCAAATCAACGTTGAAGTCCCCACAGAGAAACAAATTCTTGTTACTGATTCCATGAAACATTTTCGAAACTGTGTTTGTGAATGATTCAATACAGGAACCTGGTGCTCTATAAATACTGCTAATTATTATGTTTTTGTCCTCTCAGATGTTATTTCAACAGTGATCATTTCCATTACATCAGCAGTTGCTGTCGACATGTACATCACTATGCTTCTTAGGGTGTTACATATATACAGTGCTACACCACCGCCTTTTTCATTTTCCCGATTCTGGTAATACATCTCATACCCATCTATTTGAACGTCCTCAATATCTCCTTCTTGCAACCATGTTTCTGTAACTGCAACAACCTTAAATCTCATTTTATTTTGTGTTAAAAACTCCAATATTTTATCATAATTGCAATGCAAACTTCTACTGCTGAAGTGGATGATGGACAGTGTATCATTCACCAAGGCACAGTCACGCAATTCTTGGTCGCTATAATATTTGCATTCATTATTATGCATGTACAGATTATTGTCTAAATCTTTTCCAGGATCGTATATTTTGTATTCTCATTCTTCTTGTATTCTTGTGTCCATGTGTTTTATTTTTTTATGTTTACTAGTATTTAGTTTCTGTGACTTTGTTGTGGATTTTTATTATATTTATTTATTTTTTCAACATTTCTCTTCCGACCATCAGTCATTGTTTATTGAAAATTTCCAGTTCCTTCAGCTCCTTTATCATCTTAGCCTGTGATCCTTCTTGTTCTTTGATCCATACATTCCCATTTCTTGTCCATGTTGCTTTAATTTTTTTCTGCTTTTTTTAGCATTTGTGCTTCTCTGGCTATCGTCCCATTTTTTGGTTAGATGTTCGTTTATGTACACATTAGTGCCTCTTAGCTTATTTCCTTGTGCCAATACATTGTTTCTTTGTTTTCTGCCGGTGAACCTTATTATAATAGCTGGTTTTGTCTTTTCATATTTCTTAGGCAGTGTGAGACATATGGAAATAGCTTCTTTTTGTATGGAAATATTCTTACTGTGTAGAAATGTTACAACTTGTTGTTCAAGTGACTCAAGTTCTTTTTCTGAGACATCTTCTGCTGAGTCATGATTGATAACTGCATTAGCATAGCTTCTGTGTCTGGTTTCAAGTCCCATTATTACTCCAGTGTGGAAGGAGCTTTTTCAGTTTGCCGAATGTCACTAAAAAGCACAAGAAGATGAAAAATAAGTGTACTTTTTCTGTTGGCATCATGGTGGAGACTGGAAGTAAAAATAAGAGAGTACTGTCTTCGGAGGTGAAGCAAAGAGTTAAAACCAGAGTGAACATCGGCGTGGCCTACACTAGTCTGAGGTAGCTGAAGGAGGCAATGAAATCACGGACTGATGGTGACCCGGCTTTGTTGTTACTGGACTTGTAAGTAATAATATTTTTTGTACAACAGTGTGGATTTTTAAAATTTGTAGTTAATTTTATTATTAATTGGCTCATGTTAGTGTTAGCTTGCTGTTCGCGCAAGCTACAGCATGCTGCTGTGGGGTTGTTGTATAACAACTGTAATTCCGCTTTCAACCTGGTTAGGGTGGAGGAGCAGGAAACTCCTCAGTGTTACTTTAAAAATTTATTGTTCAAACTGCGAGAAGAGTTGTTATAGGGTGGAAATTTAGTAGGTATTATCTCTTATCTTAGCTTAACCTCTAACGTTTCACAGACTCTCCAAACTGAACTCCGATTGCTGACTACTGCAGGAAATACCGACAGCTCATCAGCACTCCACAGGACCCGGTTTCAATGGATATTTGTTTAATTTAATCTAACATCACGCACGCATGCACACACACACACACACACACACACACACACACACACACACACACACACACACACACACACACACACACACACACACACACACACACACACACACACACACACACACACACACACACACACACACACACACACACACACACACACACACACACACACACACACACACACACACACACACACACACACCAGAGGTGTTACAGTCAGATTTATTCAACCATGTATGTTTCATACAAACAAGTGTGCACATAGGGAAGACCTCGTTGTTAAGGTCTCAATGCTAAACCAAACACCCACCTGAGATTCAGTTCAGTTCACCAAATTCACGTTTTTTTTTCACAGAACAATGTAGAAACAAGTCTAGACTATTTTCTGTGGCATACGGTAGTGCTACAGTACAAGCAATGTTGGACAGCAGTTCTCAGTGACTGTTGTGGTAATTTTACAAGCTACAATGTTTGCCCTAGTGTCGTATAAAAGAAAAGCTAAAACTCATCTGGTAAGATTTTCTTCTCCTTTTTATGGATTTTGCACAAATCTTTCCTAAAACTCCTTTGAAGTTGTCAGTATTGCTCTTGCTACATTGACATTTTTTTTTTAAGTTATGTCTGAATGTTGAGCAGTGGTTGTGTTGGTAAGTGCTGCTCCGAGTGCTCATGGCTATATCTGAATAGTCATTAGCTGGATACTCTTTGTACTTCCTATCCAGGTTTTCATCACTAATAGCAGACGGTACAAAAAAACAAACAAACAAAAAAAATAAAAATAAAAACAGTTTTAGGAGGCTTGTGATTAAAAAATGAAAGCCTAAGACTCTGCAGAATTGCTAGGTTTCTCCAGAGCATCCTCTCCCTGAGCTCCTTCCCTTCTCGCTGCTGTTGCATCCTTCTCTGATTCCTGTTCTGTGGCCGCTGACATTTGTGAGTCAGGGCCTTCGAAGGACTCACCCCCCAGGTCAGTCAGTTTGATGTAGCCCTTGCTGTTGGAGCGCTCCAGCCGGGGGCAGCTGAAACGCCTCGTTCTGTCACCTTGACGACTTCCAGACACAGACAGGCTGCAGCGGCGTGCAGGCCTCGGCTGATCCGTGAAGAAGTTCAGTGACGTGTTTGAACCCATTACCGTGGCAGCAGGTGCTGAAGCAAACAGCTGTGCATGAGGCACCCCCTGTTGAATAACTGTCTCTGTGGTTCTGTTCTCCTGACTCTGATGGGGAGGTGGGAAGGCCATCATTGCTGCTTCCCTCTGCTTACCATCCATCTCATCGGCCTGGCTGCTGCTGTCGTGTCCTTCCTCACTAATGTTTCCAGCAGCAGCCTCAATAACAACCTCTTCCTCAGAGCGCCCTTCTGCCTCCGCTCTCTCAGACTCCTCCACCTCACAATTGTTGAGTTTGATCACGGGTAGGGTGAAAGCGTTCACGGAGGAGGCGACGATGGAGGTGGTCTCCCATTGCCGAGGCTGGGGGGCCTGCTCACTGCTATTGCTGTAGTCTTTGTAGATACTGTAGACCGTCTCCGTGAAGGTCTGGACATCTCTGGACCAGCTACGCGGTCGACTCACCAATGAGGAGCGTCTGAATACCTCTTCGCTTTCTGTCTCCTCTTTCGGATTGAGTCCAGTGGAAGGCCAGGAGCTGCGGGTGAGCAACCCACTTGCTGGGAATGAAGACGAAGGTCCTTCAGCACTTCTTGACTGAGTGTAGTTGACCAGGCCATTCAGGGGAGAGTACTCCTTCGAGCGTATGCTGTGCAGATCGATCACTGTGGAGTAGATGTCTCTCAGGTTAATGATTTTAGTTTTCTTGTCCCGGTTTTCGTGGAGGACTGCGTTGGCACAGATAAAGAGAAAAATGCCGATTCCCATCACCAGCGGGCCGAACACTTTCAGATTGTCTGAGTACAGGTAATTATCCAGGAAGTCGCAGAGGACGCCACAGTGAGGAGAGGGGTGAGGGGCGCTGCTGTTAGAATGGCTCTGGTTGAACACATCCGTTTGGCTCGAAGCAGACTTCTCATGGGTCAGGTTGGATGACACAGGTGGACTTCTGGAGTAGCTCATCCTGCTGTTGTGAAACGCTCCATTTCGTCTTCGCTCCTGGTACTCCTGCTGGTTCTGGCTGGGCCAGTACCCTAACACGGCCATGGAAATCCCAACCATCAGGACCATGACGCCCACAGCGGCCACCAAACCGGCTGGGGAGCAGAGATTAAGCTTCCCTTTCACAACGACCACGTCGTTTTTCTTCTTTTTCTTGGATTTCCTCTTCCTCTTATTTTCAGCTCGATTCTTGGACCGGAGCGAATCCTGCCGCCTGTTCATGCGCAGCAGGCCGCCCGTGGCTATCATGGTGGTGACTGGACAGCAGGTTTGTCACTCAAACTGCGAAGACATAAAACAGACGGGGACGTTTACGGTGAGCAAACCAACAGCTCAGTCAGAGTTAACCTTATATAGATAAAATACAACAGACATATTCACAAATTTGCAACTGTTTTATGGAAAACAAGTTTAAAATAGCATAAAAAGTAAAATGTAGTGCCGTGCATTCTGTATTTCATAGAGAAATGCCCAGAAAGCATTAAGTGCATGTTGAGATACAAAAGTAGGTGCTTTAAATCTTTTGGTAATGGCATGTTTTATTCCCTCCCTCTGCAGCCAGGCTCGATGTTTACAGGAGTGTTGGCCTGATAGCATCTCAGTGCTCCTCTGACGTCTTGATCCATTACTGTGGACTGTGTCACATGTCGGTTCTGTGCACATCACAGTGCCGTTCAGCAGCCCTCAGAGCGGCTTCACAAGATTCATACATGTCCCTATTTTGCAAATCAATAAAGAAATAGTTGTATATCAACAGATAGTCAGCGTCAGTCCTAATGAACTCTCTTCATCTAATAAATAATAAATCATCAGGAGCTTACAGAGTTACAAGAACATTTTTGCAATTGTTTTGAAAATTTTATTTAAAAAATACTGCAGGATTTAAAAAAATACACAAATAAAAGTTCTATAATGATTACCTAATAACCAGTTTTTAGTTAAAGCAGTCATACTGATAGCATTATTAATAAGTGGATCGAATCACTTTAAACCAGCCAAATGACAAAAAACTGATAATAATGTGATAATAAATTGCTTAATATGAAGTATTTACATGCTACTATTCAGATCTGAGTTAAAAACAAGAATTTTAATATTGAATTATGGATTATCATATTATTAGATTCCCTACTTTTGTCTTTTCTCATAATTTCCCAATATTATTGTTGTGTATCACAACCAAAACACATTTATGATTATTTTCCAACAAAGTTAACGTGTTAAAACGTGGTCAGCAAATGCAGAAAAAGCCATATATTTACAGACCAGAATGAATTATTTCATCATTAGATTTTCAGTGAAAATAATGCACTTTAACTAACATGTAGTGGTTTATACTAGCACGGTAGCTCTCCTGAATGGACTTTAGATCATTTAAAATCTAATTATTGAATAAAAATAAATAAATAAAGCACAAAAAAAAGAACAGTACTGGTTTTGCTGCAATCTCAGTGGATTAGTGGTATTACTGTTTACCCTGGAACTAGGAGATTGTGGGTTCAAATCCACAATTGGGTCACAACAAAGACTTTAAAGAAGGGAACCAATGCCACCCTGCTTGACACTCAGCATTAAGCGGTTCAACTGGGGGGTTAAACCACCAAATAGTTCCCGAGCACAACCGTGTCTGCAGCTCACTGCTCCCCCATTAGATGGATGTAATGTGGAGAACTAATGGGGCTTAATCTTAATCTAACAGCGGGTTCAAAGTTATTCATGAACATGTGAGTTTAAAATTGAGAAACTTCCTCTAGAAATAATTATTGGTGTTTTCTTGTATGTTTTGATTGATTGGTAAATAGTGTCTTAAATAACCAAATTATCCAGTCACTCATTTTGATTGATATTGTTCCTCTGTCCCCAGATATAAAAAAAGATAAAACACTTTTGCATTTCCTGTTATTGCCTAAGATGTGTTAGTGAGTCAATGGTTTTGAAGTCAGTGTTACACAAGAGCACAAGCCGTCTGATCGGTTCAACAAAACCGTGGATTCAGATCTAAAATCTGGTCATTTTGACTCCAAAAGAGAAGGTGAGTCTGATCATTTTGGAAACAATAGCCACCGACTCAGGTCCACCCACAGAAACACCAGAGAAGAAGAACAATCAGGACTCTTCACCAGATTCACTGAAACTACTTCAAATCGCAACAATATCCAGCAAGAGCCATGATTAATGCAATTATGTGTGATGATCTATAAAAGTGCTTTAATTTGTGATTTTTACTGCAGGATAAAAATAAATACAAAAAATCAAGCACAATGGGCAAAAATTTGGATGAGATGGTTTCAGGGACTTTTAATCTGGCTAAACATCATTTTCCCAGAAACTAATTTGAAGGTATCATCCATTCATTGTCTATTCCCACTTATCCACACAAGGTCACAGTCATGACTGTGGACTGTGGGAGGAAGCCGGAGCACATAGAGAGAACGCATGCACAGGGAGAACATGCAAACTCCTTGCAGAAAATTGGGATTTGAACCCAGGACCTTTTTGTTGCAAGGCAACAGCGCTAACCACTGCACCACTGTGCAGAATTTGAAGGTAGATAATGATGAATAAGATAAGATGCAAGAAAACCAAGAGAAAATCCTGGAGTTGACAGCAGAGAACAGGAAGTGCTGTTTTTCTGGCTGCGTTGGTGAAATATCAGCTCATGACAATGTAATGCGTCCAGACAGGAAGCCAGCAGGCATGTTCTCTTCATCCTCACTCGCTTTCTCCCATCCTTCCTTCTCTTCTCTTCTCTTCCTCCTCTCCATCCAGATCCATCAGTGTAGCTCTGCCTAAAGAAGACAGCTTTAACCAACACAAAACTATTACATCTAATTAGTCATAAACTATGCATTTGTTTGAATAATTGTGCCAAATTGTGTCTAATTCTAGCTTTATTCTGCAAACTTATTTCCCAGCAGATGAGAAGTTTTAAAGTTGCCTCAGCCAGGTGTTCTTCTGCATCTAATGATTCCTGATTGAGGTGATTAGAGCCAATTCATCCTGGAGGAACATAAGAGTTCTGCACCTGGCTTTTTAAGCAAACACCACACCGGAAGTCAGCTGCGCTTTATAGCCACTTTCTGTGGATTTCACATCCAATAAAACACCCAAGCGCCTCCTGCACCTGATCGGTCCCTCCACTAAAGTAACCGGGCGTGGGCGGTTCTGTTTGGAGAGAGAAGGGCACCAGAGGTGGGTGTGAACCAGTCGGGCACCGTCTCTGTCTGTGGTGCTGAACTGGAAGCGGATCCTCTGTCTGTCTGCCACAAGCTGCCCGTCTGGCAGGTTGGAGAGGAGGGTTGATAGCACCCAGCCTGTCCATTCTGCGGGGGCGCAGATATCTCCCTCTGTTTTTTTGCGCAATGTTGCATGAGTAACCGTCTGTTGATGTTACGGCGCATCTGTTTTCCTTCTGTTTGGATTTATTTTATTTATTTTCAGAGCTGCTGTGGAGGAGGCGCCCCTGAAAATGTCCAGACGGCAGAAGCCAGAGCGAACGCGGGATTGCTCTGGGGGCTGGAAGGTGAAGAGAAATGACATAGCCCACCTCAGCCACGGCCTGACGGAGCGTCCACAAACACGTCTTTGTTTTCACAACTTATCAAAAATAATTTTCTAAATTCAAAGCCACGGTCTTAAGAAACTTGGCCGTATTTTCTATGTGCGCGTTCCATTTTTGACCGAATTGCCATCCAGCTTGCGCAAGAATCTGAAACACCTTCATTAAAAATGCAAATGAGCCCTCAAAAATTAAATTTACACAAATAAAATCACGTGTTGCTCGTGCCACGCCTTCCAGAATCCGACAGTCTGATAAACGCAAAACCAAAAATATTCCCAAAGCCTGTCACGGCATCAAAAGACTTCCGAACCTCGACCCAATCCAGCGAGATTCGTGCCCGACAGACGCACCAGTGATCGTCGGGAGGTAAAAGGCGTAGTAGGACCTGGAGGGGATTTAAAATATTCAAAAATGGAGATGAAATGGTGAGAGAGAGAGCGCCTCTTACCAGAAAACGCGTCTGGACTACCCAGCATCCTGATGGCGCGCTCCTGGTTCGGCTGAGCTCGTCGTGGTGCGCCACTCCGGTGCCAGGGATGGAAGAGTGGCTTCCAGCTGAACGCTGATCCACAATGGAGCGGGCAGGGGCGGGC